CCCCAAAACCCCAAAACCCCAAAACCCCATGAATCAAATTTGCATGTTTATATTATGCTAAGAAATTAGTCATATTAATATCTAATTAGAATGGAATTCTCAATGGTACTCAATTCTGATAATCATATATAAAACACTGCAAAATATTATAAAACTTTAGTATATATTAATCATCATGAGGAAATCTATTTTATCCGCTCTCATTATTGTGGGAGTCATATCATCTGCTCAAGCTGTTGGACGTCTCGGAGAGGGATGCTAAACCAACCCAGACTGTGTAAGCGAATGCTGCTGGTTCGGAACTTGCAGAGCTGCAAGTGTAAATTGCAATCCTGAAACTCAATAAGCTCTCATGTCATTTTCCTCCAGATTTAGGGATTCATAAGCCTTCATTGATATGACACCAGCTGAAATCAACAGAATGAGCTTGAAATTAGAGTAATTTAAGATCGAGAAAAAATTATATAACACTCTTGTGCTATAATAGGCTGGCAGTGAAACTACTGCCACTGATGGCACAGCTGCAAATACATAAACTTAAACTTCTTCTGGTGAGACAGCTTCATCAACTGATAATTCTGGTCAATCAACAAGTACTGATTCCTCAACCACAGGTACTTAAGCTGAAAATTAGCCAACAGGAAATACTTAAACAACTCCAAATACTCAAACTGATACTGCATCAACAACTGAAAATGGCTCCGGGACTGCAACCACTTAAGATACTTCATAAAATACAGCAGCATAATCAACCAGTGACACTAACACTCCCACTACAACTGGATCGACATCCACATAAGATTCAACCTAAAGCACCTCTACTGATAAGGCTTAGGCATCAGGTTCAGATAGTACTACTGTTTCTTAAGACTCAACCTAAACTGCCCCTAATCCTTCAACCTCAGCAACTTCTGATAGTAGCTCTGCAGCAACAAATACTGAGAGTCCCAATTCAGCAACTACTACTGAGAGTACTACTCCTTAAACTAATACAGACAATGCTAACTCAGCAGCTACTAGTGACAATACTTCTGCTTCAGCAAATACTGTATCAGATTCATCTACAACAAGTGATGCATCAACTAATTCAGCAGACAATACTAAAGCCAACACTGGAACTTAAGATAGCTAGACCACTACTCAAAATACTCAAGCAAATGCAAATCCATCAGCAACTACTTAGGATACATAATCATAATAAAACACTATTTCAACTAATGATTAACAAGCAGCTAGCTCTTCAAGCACAACTCCTCAAACATCCAGCAATGATCAAACTACATCAACCAGTCCAGTCAATAGTGAAAATTCTAATACAAATACTGGAACTGAAAATACTTCTCAAACTGATGCAAGTAGCAATACTCAAGCTAGTAATAGTAGCAATACTCCAATTGAAAATACAAGCTCTTAATCTACTGACTCTAATGCTAACAGCTAAGCTAGCGAATCTAAAAGTGAATAATCAGCAGGGGAAACCACTAATACTAATACTTAAGCTTAAACTACTGGATCAGAATCGACCAATACTTCCTCTGAAAAATCTGGTTCAACTTCAGATGGCACTACAAACGAGTCAAATACTATTAACTCTGCTTCAAACTCTAATTCTTCGCCAACAACAACAGCAGACAATACTAAGACAGATTCATCATCAATCTCTGGGTCTGATTCATCAAAGCCAGCTGATGAGCAATCTCAAACTGCAGGTACCTCAAATACTGGCTCATCAACTAAGATTGAAACTGATTCTACTAAAACATCGGAAGATACCCAGACAAAAACAAATGAACCTACTGAGTCGCAAGATGCCACAAGCTCAAAACAAAGTTCAACTTAAAACAGTGAGAATACTGCAAATGCAAATCATGAAGCAAACAATTCAGGTAATGAAGTAAAAGGTGAGGAAAATAAAGCAACTGAATAAAACTCTTAAACTAAGAATGAAACTGCCTCAAATGAAAGTACTGTTTCTAATGACAACACTTAAACAAGCACTTCTTAACAAGAATAGCCAAAGGTAGAAGATTCTAAAATTACTCAAAATGACAGTAAATCATAAGATCAATCTTCTTCAGGTTCAATTGAACCTAAGGCAAATGCAGATGGTAAATTTCTTGGAGATTAGTCTAATAAAAATGAGAATACTGAGAAAACCGATTCAAATACCAAGGATAAAACCACTCCTTAAACTACCTCAGATTCTGATTCTTCTACTAAGGAAGAGAATAAAGAGGGTCTTAAGTGGTACGTTTGGTTCGTGATTCTTCTTGGTTCAGGACTCACTATTGCTGTAGGTTATGTTCTAGGCAAAAGATGCATTATGCGTAGTAGTCAAGATGGCTATTAACAAGCTTGAATTAATAAAACTTATTGTTTAACTTCTAAAGTTGAATATGGTTTAATTTATTTTGGATTTTCTTAACATTGATTCTATTCTGATTCTTGGGGTTTTGGGGTTTTGGGGTTTTGGGGTTTTGGGG